CTGGGTCTTCCTAGATCAATCAACAATCCAGATAATCTGCCCCTCCCCTAGATCATATGCACAAAGCCTCCCTCATCTAGACAATTCCTCCATAATACTCTTCTACCAGGCAAGTCCAGGTTATGTCAAGTTGACAATTAAAAATAACTAATAAGGAAAAAATCATGTCAGAGAGTACCAGCTTGGTTTGACTGTACAATAATATGCCCGTGGCATAGCCTGTCTGAGTCCGCTGGAAGGGGAACATAAATTCTAAGCTCATCTTCCTTTTTCAAAGCATGGACCCCAGTTATTATAATAATTAAACTATTATCCACAACACTGGCCATTATTACCTGGAAAGTTATGAATCAAAAGTTTTGGGGGCTTGTATAATTCAAGCCATACAATAATCACTGGAGTTGACACTATAACTAGACCTATTTTACAGATGTGAAGACCAAGGTGTGGGAGGTCAAGGCCTACTGTAAGTCGAAAGCAGGTGAGGGAGTAAAGGCAAGCCAAAACCAAGATCCAATTCAGGTCTCTAACTTCAAGACCAACACTTTATTAAAAAAGCAAATTTCTGCTTCTGGGCCAGAAACCAGAGTCCACCTGGCTAACAGCACAAACATGTAAAGCCCTCTCTTGTTTCTCATGCCAAGAGCGTCACTCAGGGGTGGCGGTGCCTTGATTTGTCAGAATTCCCCTGGACTCACCACATGAGATGTCACTGTCCCCTGCAGGCTGGCAGATGCCATCCTACCCATCTACCAAAGCAGGAGTGTGTTCCAGATTAAGGTGAAAGGCAAAGGCGGCCCGGGACCCCCACAGTAAACAACACCCTCACTTTGCCAGGGTCCCCACAGTCACGGGGTTCACCACAACTGAGGCACTACCTCAGGGAGCTCAAACTTTGCACTTGACAAACTGTTCCAACCCACCAGGGACAGCAGGGGGCAGAAAGGCAGCTTGAGGTTAATTGTGACCATTAAAAGGCCTCTCTGGGCTTTCAGAGGTAAAGAACGAACGCCTTCAGTTCTATATGAATGGGATGGAAAGTACTGACAAGCTATACAGTCACTCAACCAGAGTTTAGTGACAAGCTCGGGTCATTACCCAGAAAGGTACTTTCTTCGCTGTGTACACAGCCCACATTGCATGCACTACTGATGCCACATTTTAAAATGTCAAAAATAGAGGGATATGAGAAACAATGTTTACAGAACACTCTACTTTTAAGACTTTACCACAAATCGAAAATGATTTCAAATCAAAAGCTTAAAAAAAAAAAGTTCAAATGACAAACAGGATAGAAGATTTCCTACAGCTGCCCCAGGAAGGGTGTGGATCCCCCAGACCAGCCTCCTCCAGAAGGGTGTATGTAGTTTGTACTAATGAATATAGCCGAAGGGAGGTAGTCATTTTCATCAACCAAGTACTGTCGGTAGCACAGTTCTAAGCTCTTCTAGAACAAGGTCACAAGAAGGAACAACTTTTTGTGCTCACTAAGAGCAGGTGGAGGGGATATGCAAGAAATAACCCCACTACCCACCTGGGATCAGGGGAAGGATTTACACATTTGTATATGTAATGTATTAACACAGAGGGTAAAACACTGGAGTGGTATGTTATACATTATACAAAAAAAATTTCAAAGTTTTTTCAAAGTGTCATAAACACCAATTAAAGCATTATTTGGTACAGACAGAACATTTCCACAAAGTTTTAAATTCATAAAAAAAGATACCTGATGCCCTTGGGAAACTTGGTAAGAAAGTTTTGAGCTTTCAAGGATTTGAGGATCCCTTCCTTACAGACTATTTCGAATCTTCACCCTGAAGACTACAACAAAAGAGATCCACCCAGATTAGAACCTCCTTGGACATGAGGAAGAAGGCATTAAATAAGAGGTGAGGAAATATCGCGCCAGGCCACCAAAGGTGGGCACCACACTGGTGATGATCAGAGGCGGAACACTGCCTGCCTTTAGTGAAGGCGCAAAGCCAGGCAGGAAGAATGGTGTTTGGTGTGGGGTCTGATCTGACTCATGGACTCAGATCACACGTGATCCGGAGATGCTGGAGTCTTCCTTTCAAGAGCAGCTGCTGAAGAACCATGCAGCCTCCCTATAGGAAAGAAGACACTAGATACAGGAAGAACTCTGGTATTAAAAACAAGAATAAATGTCTCTTTTAAGCTAGCAAGATGGCTTCATGAGTAAAGGTGCAGCCAGGTCTGACAACCTGAGAGGAGTCACCAGAACCCACAGGGTTATAGGAAAAGCCCACTCCCAAAACTTGTTCCAACTCCACCTCCCCCCCCCCACACACACACACGCTAAATCTGGTATTCTGACCTCATCTCTTATTTCAGAGACTTTATGATGACATGGGATATAGGATTATATATCCAACAATACAAAAAATGGCAAAATGGAAGTCAGCCCCCACGTTGCTTTTTCAATAAGGCAATAAAGGTAAATTATCCAAGAATAAATCATAGTCCCAGGCAGAATTGAAACACAATCGTGGAGCCAAGTGTGGTGGTGCACAGGAGTAAGGTCGGCATTTGATAGACGGAGGCAAGAGATTGGGAGTTCAAGGTCATCTTCTACGATATAGTGAGTTTAGGGCCAGCCTGGGCTACATAAGATCCTGTCTCAAAAGAAATCCAAAACAAGCAAGCAGAAACAACTTCCATTACTCCTCCAACACTGTGATTTCAAGGGTGTGCCCATTTACATCGTTCTTATGCCCTTGTCTGTAAAGAAATGTTCAAAAGTCCAACTAGTCTCGTGAACGCAAAGAAAACACAGCCCAGTGCATTAAGTAGCACCTGACAGCTTTTAAGTCCAATGTGATATTCTAGCCACCTCATCCCAACAGCCTCATAAGCCCACAGTCCATGCCATCCAAGATTTCTTGCAGTTACATTTAAGTAGAATAATTTAGTCAGACACCAAGGTCTCTCTACTCATAACCAAGATTTGCTAAGAAAAAAAAAAAACTAATTTGCCTTCATATTCATCAAAAGCAAAAAACATAACATCCTTCCTCTGACTCTCGTAAGGGCTATCGAGTAGGACCGCAGAGACAAGCGAAGGGTACCACAGCTGTTCTAGGTTCAGGGAAGGGAGCCACATAATTTAAGACGAACACCTGGAAATCGGGTGGGGGGGGACTATTTTGTTTCCGCCTCAAAAAATAAAATAAAATAAAAGCCCTTCAGGTGGATACACAGCAAATCACATCGCTGGGTTACCCAATTATCTGAACACACTCATTAACTAAATGTAATCAACTGGCGTTCACTCTTCTTGCCTGGTGCATATTTCTAGAGCAATGCTTTTCTCATTCCTCATAGCAGGCAGAACGTTAGACAGTCTACTCGGTGCAGCAGAGGGAAACAAACACACAGATTTTTTTATTTTTGCTGATGGCAGGAGTTTCTCCTCACGCTCAGGGCAAAGGAACCCATACTATGGCAACGGCAGCACCGGCTGGCTGTAGATTTTAATTACTCTCCACACCAATTTTGCCGAGAAGACTTAAAGTTCAATTAGGTAATACGATGCTCGGTTAGGGTTGTTTTCATAAAACTGGGCACAGGCTTTCAAGTAGTAAATATGTAGCCGTGACAGGATTAAATATTCATGAAATCAAGAGCGACTGGAAGGCCGGGGATATCACACTATTAAAATTCATACAGTTTTCACGATGTAAATCTTGTATCCACTTGTACGGCGCCCCGCTCTGGTCTGTTTTGGAGTGCGTTCAGATTCCAACTCCTGCGTTGCTTACCACTTAAATGATGATATTGATTTTCATAGATCAACAACAATCCTGATTCTTACCTCAGGTTTCAAAACACACAAACAATTCTAAGCATTTGAAAATCCAAACTTGTCAAAGATCTGTCTGCAGACACAGAACAGCACCACTCGGCGTGATCCCAACATGCTAGTCTAGTATCTGTTCCATCTCGTAGCAAAGGTCCAAGGAAAATCAAGGTATTAGCAAGGAGAGACGTGGCTAGCTTCTACCCAAAAGAAGTGCCTTTCTGTCTGTACCACTTCCTTATCTGAGACAACGTGGAAACAATAGTAGATTGACTCTTAGGTTCCAACACTGATTTGCTGAACCAAGTTTTCCCCAATATTAACGGCGGCTTTCAGAACGCTTGAACAGACACACGTGTGAAGTTGTTACGGATGGAACTAAACAACTAGCTTCCATCAAACTAAACTCCGAGCATGGGTAGAGGCAGCAACTGCCCAGAGACGGCTGTAATAAGCACACTCTGAATATTACCAAGGCGTCATCTTCTGTGCCATTTCCCCTACTGTACAATTTTCTCAGCAGAGGAAAACACCAGCAGCAGAGAATGGCATCTGAGCCATCTCTTACTGGAATTCAATTACCTAAAGAACTCCACACAGTCAGGCGCAGGTCTCCCCTGGTCTACCATGACACAGCAGGGCTGCAAAGGACTTGCAGGGTTCACCTGCTGCCAGGCACTGGATCCCTGCCCTCCTGAAGAGGAGGATGCCGGCTGAGGACCACCTCCAGCCTAGAGCTCCGTGAAGCAAGGCTGTCCAATCTGAAAAGAGCCAAACTTTGCTCCCATCGGTAGATGCATGCCACCTCCCCTCCGAGAGTCTAGGAAGCCACTCGCCAGGTCTTTAAGGCACACTTCTAGACCCACAGCATCTAAAGCAGAAGTCTCCCGCGGGTTCAGTCCTGCCCTCAGCCTCGCATCGCTTCTACCCTGACTTTTTCCCCTGCACACATCACTGAACGCCGAAACCAGAGCAGACTTCTTTCTGCACACACCTTCCAGTTGAGAAACTAACGGCGTGGATTCCTTCAAATCCCACGCCTTCTCCAGTCTGCCACCCCACCCCACCCCCTACAAACGAGGCAAGGGGGTTGGGAGTGGAGGGGTTAAAGAGACAGCCACTACTAGTCCCCCTCCATCTGGTTCCAAAGATGTCACGGCGGCCACACCGAGGACCTTACCTTGCTCTCCCCCCTGTCGCCGGTGGGTCTCGCCTCCGGATCGTCGCTGTCCTCCGCGCCCGCACTCTCGCAGGGCACTTCATCCTGAGCCAGCTGCTGCTGGGGCTGCGGCTGGGGCTGGGGCGGCTGTGGCGGCGCCTGGCAGGCTCCGCCAGCCCCCTGGGAGCGGGGGATGGGCTCCGGGCGCGGAGAAACTCCCTCCACATCCATCTCCATCTTCCCATTCACTGGAGGGCAAGACAAAAGCGGAGCGGAGACTTGGCAGCGGCGCCCGGCGGCTCCTCAGCGGCCCGTGGCACGCATGGCTCGCCGAGGAGGGGCCGCCTCGCGCGCGCCCTCCCTCCTGCCACCCTTCGCCCGCACTCCCCGCGGCTCGGCTCGGCTCCGGCGCTGCGGGGCGTCTGGGCCCGGGAGCTGGCGAGGAGCCGGTGGCCGCGTGTCCTTGGAGCGCTGGCCTTCAGGAGCCCCCTGGCAGTCCCGCTACACCGAGCGCATCCTGGCGGTGGCAGGGCGCCTCCCAGCCGCGCGCCCCAGCCAGCCCTGGGGACAGCCCCAGGGACTTGTTCTCCTTATCCTCGATCCCGGATCCGCGATCCTTGATCATCTGGCGTCTCCCGGGGGCCCCCTGGGTGTTCCAGCTCCCTTCCAGCCTTCTGAACAAAGTTACTGGAAGAACAAACCAGATGGGCCGGATTTGCCTGGCGACACCGGGAATGTCAGGTGTAAGTGGGCTCTTACATTCCCAGCCGCTGACCAGGCACAGACCCTATCTGTCGCCCTCTTCCCAGCGCAGATGAACTGAAGAAAGGCGGGTGTTCCGACCTAGAATGTCAGTCAGGGAGCACTAGGAGAGGGCCAAGGGGAGGGCTCATGGCTGGAGAGACCACCCCAATCCCAGGTGACTACCACCTCCTGACCCTGGCTCTTCCTCCTCTGGCCACCAGGCGTATCTGGAGGGCCAGTCCTTCTCTGAGTGCCTGTGTGGGGTTCTCAGAGCCCAGCACCCTGGTCTGTGCTGATGCCGGTGGCCCCGTGCAGGAGGGCAGACCTCTACTAGAGAACCGGAGCATAGAAGCAATCAGTAACCAATTCCCAGCAGGAACAGACTTAACCGAGTCTTGGGCACACTGGGGGTTAAAATTGGTAAGGGGTGGGGCTCCATGGAATGGAGAGGATGCCTGGGTCTGGACCAATCTCACAGTGCTGAGTCTGGCACCAAGGTGTGCCGCCTGAGGGTCAGTAGAGGAGGGAGGGAAGTGGGGTGTAGCTTCCAGGCTTTTACTGCAAAGCACCCTGTGGTGGGCGCCAGCTGGGCGCCTGCTCTCCCAAGTGGCCAGTTCTCTCAAGCAAACGGGGCAAATTTTAGGAGATGAGGCCAGGGGCAGGCAGTGAAGTGCTCTGAAAATACAGAGTTGGCAAGGATAAGCCTGGAAGGGCTTACACTGGGGCGCCCCGTCAGTCACATCGACCAATTCTGTGTTACTCACATAGAAATTAAGAGGAGTTGCTGGGCTAGTACCCGTGGCCCTGAGCCCTGAAGAGCCAAATAGGCTGAGCCAAGCGACTCTGCCTCTATCTCCAGGTCCTAAGAACTGAAAGTGCATGCCTCAAGGCTCTACAAGCCAAAGCCCTATGACTGTAGAAGCTCACGTGGGCGGCTTACTGCTCTGGGCTTTCCCAGTGCCCTGGCCCCAAGGCAGTTAGAATCCAATCATCCTTGGTGTCTAGAGTTGGAACTCACAACCTTGGGGCGGGGCGGGGGGTGGGGTTTGGAAGCATGTGTAGCTAGCATTACAGCTCCAGAGCAGATTTCAGACCCTCACCTTTAGGAACTGGGAGCTCTTTGAAAATCTTCCACCAAGCAGCCCATGCCCAGATCTCCGCAGGTCTCCCCACTTCCACAACCCACCCTCTCCTGTGTTCCTGCCCCAACCCTTTTCCAACTCACCTGCTGCCTTTTAACCAATAAGGGGCTGCCACCAGCTGTGGCTGCCTCCCCTGGAAGTTACCAGCTCAGCTCTCCCCCAATCACCATAAAGATTGCAGGTGGATAAGAAAGAGCCCTTGCCAGAAACCTTTTATTGGGTCTAATGTTGCAACACCAGGGTGCAGTAGCAGAGGGTGGCTCCAAGCTCAATATAAAACCAGAAAGGGGGTGTGGCGGGGCTGTAGCATATACATTTGGCACTGTAATCTGAACCAACCACAGGCTCGAAGCCACACTAATCACAAACGTTCTGTAGAGATGCCCAAGAAGTCCTCTCTCCTATCTGAGTCAGAACAGCTGCGGGTGAGGGGGTTATCTAGAGCTCACCCAGGCTTGTCTAGAATTCTGACTTCCTGCCCTCCTCTGGGTTATTGGGAGTGGTTTGAGCTGGAAGAAGGCCTCTTAAAGGGGGAATAGTGTCTTTTGTAGCACCCGTGGTTAAAGACAACAAACACACAACACAGCTGCTGAAGTGTTTTTACAGGGGCCGGACAGTATTAAAAGTAGCTAGTGTGAGAGCAGTCTGTCCAATCAGCTGCCAAAGACGGGGCTACTATGGGGACAGTTCTGGGCTCAGAGCCACCTGGACTAAGGGAAGAGTCTGTCACCTGCCACTCCAGTGACCCAGTAGTTTTCTCTGGACATAAACGGTTGCTTACAATAAAGACTTAACAGAAGTTCAATAGCAAACCAACATTCCCAGTGGCATTTAACAGGTAAAACAAAGTCTGTCTGATCCATCTCAGGGCGAGCAAGGTGACTCCTGCAGTTACCACTTGGTCCTGGACATAGCTTAGGATGACATGGGCATTGCATCAGTAACTTTGCACATCCAGGGGGAACCTTGGAGCAGCGATGGGGAGGACAAAGGCGCTTAGTCTGGGTTTTGAGTTCTTAAATGTAAGTGGAAAGTGAACTGACCATGAATTTTCTGATAGAAAGTGAGTACCGTTTTCCTTTAATATCCAGTGGGGAACATAGTATGTGCCTGAAGCATCTGGGAAGCTGATGGCCCACTGGGCTGCTGTGCAGTGTCCAACAGAGCCCGTACACACCAATGCACACAGTCCCGCTGGACAAAGTTACTCACTCCAGGCACATCGGCAGAATTTATCCTTTCTGCAGCCTCTTCCTCTCCAGGTTCTTGCATGAGTGTGAACGTGTTTTATGGCTTCTTTAATCTGTAGAGACCTTCGGGTAAAGCAGCATGGATATGCTCTAAGAAAGCAGTTTGGATGGTGGCTTATCAGGCCTCCATTGTTGGCTTTCGTTTTCATTATTTCTAAAAGCTTCATTTCAAGTTTATTTTCTAAACCGAGAACTCATCACACAACACAATGAGTTTACTCATCCTGGCTATACTAGACTTTTAAATGACACCGTGACCCTGAGTGTTGTAATGTGTGAGCCAAGGCAGTATGAATGGGACCTGCAAAATGGCTGTGGGTAAAGGCTCCTGCAGCCAGGCCTGATTACACAAATCTAGTTCGGAAAATGTGAAGAAACAGGCCCCAAAGAATTGTCCCCTGACTTCCTAACATTTGCTGTGGCATGCCTGGCACCACGTCCAGAATATATATTACAAAATAATAAAGATCAAGAAAACAGAACTATTTACCTTCAAGGATGGCGCTCTCTTCATTTCCTCCCCAGCAGACACTAATGAATCAAGACACCTTACAGGTTTTTTTTTTATAAGGTAAATCTTATTATCTGTGTAATGTGCTTAGAAAATTACACAGCACATGGCACTGTCTGTTAAGCTGGGGCAGGAAGGTGGTAGAAATGACCTTGAACATGTACCTGAAGACTCCGGTTCAGGAGCAAGTAAACAGGGGTTATTGCCACTTGATTTTCCTAGAAGATCTTTGGAGAAGAGGGAGGAATACAGCAGTGTTGTGTGCAAGGAACTTCAGAATTTGACACATTTTCCTTCTGTAGTGCAGAAATAAAAATCACATGTCAATTCAGACAGGAGCTGGGAGGGCTGTTCAGTTAATATTCCTCCATGCTTGTTACATCTGAAATGTGTAACTTTTTTAAAAAAGCTCAGATGAAGATTAAATAAAAAAGAAAGATAAAACCCTGCAACTGATTTGTTCTAAATTTAGACATGTACTTTTAAAGGTTTCTATTGTTCAATGCAAATATTATTTTCTTCTGCCCCTGTAATTACTTGGGGGACATATTTTTTTTGCATCTGTCATAAGTAAATATGGACTCAGAAAATATATTACATTTCAAAACTGTTGATTGCACCTAATTATGCATGTAAATTGCTACTTCAAGCCTGCAAACAGCTTGCAACATTTTGAAATTTTGCCCTACTAGTCATCTGAGGTGTCTGTGGAGTCTTTTGTGGTTGCCTGAAATGACACTTCATATCCTCGTTAACTACCCATTAATGGTGAGTCTGTGAAGAATTCTGACCTTTAGCTGTCTGTCTCAGAAGACTGGGATTAGTGGATCATTGCTTTGAACAAGACACCTTCTTCCTATTTACACCTGAACACTCAATGCTCTTTTGAGTCACCAAGACTACAGAGTGTCCTTGGACTCACTTCCGTTACTCAGATTTTCCTTGGTGAGCCTGGAGCATTCCAACCCTCCAGGAGTATAAAAGGCATGCAGTCCCAAGCCTGCCACAGATCAGTCACTCAGAATTTGCATCTAACAAGATCTCCAAGTGATTCCGCTGAGCATGGGTTTAAGAAGGACCGTCTAACCTATGTGTCCCGTTTCTCTTCCTCTACTTGTCTTTAACAATCACAGTTGCCCTCCCAGACTACCCAGAAAACAACTTATATAGGAAGACACAGCGTGGGACTGTGAGATGGCTCTGTCAGGAAAAATGCTTGCCTTAAAAGTATAGTGACCTGAGTTGATCCCAGGCCAGCCATGGAAGTGTGCCAACTGCCAAAAGCTGTCTTGTGACCCCATTATGCATACTATTGTACAAAGGCACCTGTATGTACACACTAAAAGTACATTAAAAACACTGGATAGCTCCTCTCTCTCCCAAGAAATTCTTCTTCTCACACTACCCATTCCTCCCCATGGGCCTTTCCCTGCACACTGAAAAGCTTCATGAATTAAGAGCATAGAGCTATGTTTTATCATTCTGGGGATTGAATAAGAAGTGTGAGTTCTTCTAAAATCAGAAGACATTAGCCCAAAAGCACTTTATCTTGAATAATGAACCCTTTGCAAAACTGTGAAAAGCTTGGTCATTTTGGCCCTTCTCCTTGAGACTGGCAACTCCAGCGTCTCCCTGCTGGGACTGCCAGTGCCTTGAGACATAATGCAAGCAAACAAGGATGAGTGTGCGTCCATGAAAAAATAAATAAACAATTAAACAAACAAACAAATCTAGTAAAACCTCAATAATTTGAAATAAGTCTGCACTAAATTTTGAACCCCGGTATTTTTAGGAAGTTCAGAATTCATTAATGAGCTTCTTTGAAGAAATGTGTACGTATTTCAACAAGCTGATTTCCCCCCAGCGCATCTGGAGTTTGCTATGTAGGTTTGCTGGGTTCACACTTGCAGTCCTCCTACCTTGGCCTCCCAAGTGCTAGGACTACAGTATCACCAGGCCCAGCCTAAAAAGAATTAATTTTTTAAATATTTTTACTTATGTATGATGTATGTGTTAATGTCTGCGTGCAGGTGCGCAAATCCATGCATTCATGTGTTAAGGCCAGAAGTTGATGAAGG